ACTGCTGTAGCTGAACCCAGGACACTTATGTAATAAGACCCCAGGGAAATCATGTTTCCAAAGCAATGAGAAGTCCTCTTTTTCACTCATGGAAAAAGGAACATGAAAGTGCAAGGACAAAATACCAGGTGTTATTCTGTCCTGCCCTGCCTCCCATTTGGCTCTGGGTTCATACAACAGCTGAGGTCTGTTGAGCACTAATCCTGACTGTACGCCAGTGGTACAACAGTTAGTTAGTGGACTATGAATATAATAATAATAATAATAATATAGTTAGTGGACTATAAATTCAGGATGCTATTTAGCCATGAGACTTCACGTAGGTTGTTTAGAAACAACTAAATACACCAGCATAGTCAGGGGTGCATATCCATTCCAACAAGTGCAGTGACTTTGCACACCCAGTCCCTTGTTTCCTATTGACCAGCCTTCGTTTTGTAAAAGTTTCTTACTTGTGGTACACCCCATGACAACTTTCTGGTATATTCATTCATTACTTACTCATTGAGTTTCATGGGGGGTTTTAGTTTGTTGCTTTTTGTTTTTTCCACTTCAAAATTAAAATAGTAAGTCTTTCTATGCATGCTCAAAATTTAATAATAGATTCCCGAGAGAAGACTGAAAAATGCTGGGAGCACTCTCAGTAAGCCATTGCTAAATTCCAGAATAAGGGATCCTGACGAAGAAAGTGCTGCTTGTTGATGTCAGGATGACATCCATCCCCCAGATCTGTGTCTAGTTTCTGTGGTAGAAGCATGGTCACCTGAGCCAAAGGGATGCTGCAGCAAAAGCAGGCCTTAGGCTGGACAAGCAGAACTTACTGTTTACCTCTGCCCTGGATTTCAGATATCACCTAAAAAGTGTCATCTTTTCCAATAAGTAATTTACTTTTTCTTCCCATTTTTCTTATATCTGGATATGATTTCATATTTTTATTTTTCATAATCAATTTTTTATTTTAGAAAATACAAAATGAGAGGAAGTATTCTCCAGGGACACCTAAGAAAGCCTAGCATTAATTCCTAACATAGATATTAACACCCAAGTGTTTGAGTTCTATTGATCACAGGTGAAGTATTTTAGAGTACCTTAATTTTGATTTTACTCCTATTTATCTGGATACTATAACTAGAAATTTGAAAAGTCTTTGGCGCTTCTACTTGGGGTCAGAATTTCAAAATCACGCAGCATGTCAGGTTACAGGAGAGTGCGGATAATCCACTTACCCACAGATTACCAAGGGATCAAACAGCTGTCAGAACAGTTGTTTCTTACAGCATTAGCTCTACGATATTGAATAATTTGCATTTTTAGCTAATTGATTGCCCCCCATGGAAAGGAGTCACAGCAGTGATTTTGAAGGATGCTTCCTATTGACATACTCTTCTTATTAGCATCACAACTTTCCAGCTCTGTTATGCTTGTCTCCCGCCCCATGTCTTTTGTCCTTACAGAATCATGTGAAGACCAAGTAATAGCAAAGGTACATAGTGAAATTCAGGCTCTGATTCAAAGCAATTGATAGGTATAAACTCGGGGACATGGACTCAATGAGCTCTTGATTCCCGATGCCTTCAGAAAACAAGGGAAAATCTTTTCTATACTGCTTTTCCATGGTCTGGTAAGAATGAAGTGCCCATAGGGAGCTGGAAAAGTTAATCTGATGGACTGAAATAGAGAGACAGGCGTTATGTGTCTGTATCTCTACCCCTTTCTTTCTTTCTTCCAGGGAGCAACACTGATTTAGCAGAGGAATTCCACGCTAAAGAAACTCCCTCCACCAGCTGATTTTTGGCTATTCATAAGAAGGCACAGCCCACATGGCAGGGCTGTACCTAGGCTAGTGCAGATGCATCTAGCTTGGGTGCTACCGTGGGTTGGCCAGAACCGCGGGTTGCTGGGGTTGCTGAAGAAGCAGTGCAGCACTGCCACAGCTTGCACCCAGCTGACAGATATAAAATTGACAGACTGCTGCGCTGCACTGTATAACATAACTGCATAACTTCTTGCCCTAGGAGCCAGCACTTCTAGATAGCCTTGAGACACAATGATAGCTCAACATAAAGAATATTGTTGTCTGTGTTCCAGGGAGACCTTAGAGCAGCTTTCAGTGCCTAAAGGGACTACAAGAAACCTGAAGGGGGGCTTTGGGCAAGTGCCTGTAAGGACAGAACAAGAGGGAATGGTTTTAACCTGACAGAGGGGAGATTGAGATGAGCTTTTTGGAAGAAGTTCTTCCCTGTGAGGGTGGTGATGCACTGGCACAGATTGCCCAGAGAAGCTGTGGCTGCCCCATTCCTGGAAGTGTTCAAGACCAGGTTGGACAGGGCTTTGAGCAACCTGGTCTAGTGGAAGATGTCCCTGCTCGTGGAAGATGCCCCTGCCTATGGCAGGGAGTTGGAACTGGATGAGCTTTAAGTTCCTTTCCAACCCAAACCATTCCAGGGTTCTGTGAACCTCTCAGGTCCCCAGCTCCCATTCCTCCATCAAACACAGGATCTGGAAAGCCCTTGAGAATTTGACAACACAATGACTGCTTGATGAGGGTGAGATCTGGCAGCTCTGCAAACACATCCCCATCCCATGAGACACAGGGGGAAGCCATGTCACCCCGTGAAGTACCAGTAACTTTTCAACTTAGCCCCCCAAATTGCCCTGAGGTTCTGAAGCACTTGATGTGATTAATTCCCATTCCCAAAGGCACCTTCCCAGATGCCACAGACGCTTCCCTCATGCTCCTACTCACAAGGTGTCAGACTCTATTCCAAGTGTGGTAGGAAAAGGGAAAAGCCAGAGCAAATTTAGCTGAGTAGATGAGAACAGGGCCCAGGCTGATTAACTTCACCACGGCCAGGCAGTGATGGAAGTGCTGGGGCAGCACCAGTGCAGCCAGACTGAAGGGAATCATATAGTCAAGATTTCTACCTGCCAACATTAACATACTGGTCTTACTCAGGTGGACGGGCTGCCTAATCTAACCCAGAAAAAGGAAGATGCTTATAAATCATATGTGTTCAATATTAAAAGAATGAACCAAGATTCCATAAATGCCAGAGCTGCAGCCAAAACTTAGCTGAGATACTTGAATAACTATCTATTTAAGTCAGACTTGCGCAGGTGAGCAAGATCTTATTTATCTCACCAGCCTTCTTTATGTGAATCACTTATTGAAAGAGGACCTGGGCTGAGGAGGCACAGTTTGGGTTCTGAAAAGCACTTTGAGGTGTTTCTCTTGTGACTTCTGAAATCAACCTTGATTCTTTCCCAGGTTTCCCCTCCACAGCTGAGCTGAGAATTAGCTCTTCACACTGGTAAGAAAACCCATACAGTGGCCCTTTTTATCTGACATTTTCCTGAACCTTTAGTGTGTACTTCAGTAAGCCAATGCAGGATATGTGCTCTCTGTAGGTGTCTAAGGTAACAGAAAGAGATTATGTTAAGTACTTAGTAAGAAGCATTTTCCATTTGCAACACTCAACTTCATTTAGCTGTAATGCACGAACGAATTGACCCACATGGGTCTTAATCTAACCATTTAATTGTACCCCTGAAGTGTCAATGTGATGAGCATCACAGACTTTGGCACTGTTGACATTTCTTTAAAGCAGATGACAGTTTGAAAGGATGGTGGAGTATCCTTTTATCACTGCATCAGATGAATACGTTACTGAGTGATGGAAACAGCTTTACACAGTGGCAAGTGACAGGAAAGAAAGTGGTGGGGAAAAGGCACAAAAGGCAAGACAAATAAAAATAAACAAAGAAGCATAACACGTACAAGTATTCTTAAAGGCTCTGATGAATTCACACTGTGAATAGCTGGTGCAGCTAACCAACAATCATGAACAAGGAAATAAAAATATCCTTAAAGCTTCCTCAGAAATGTCTTTAAAACAGTGGATCTTAGACATGTACAGTGGTAAAGCTGAAGGGAGACCTTTGGTAAAGCACAAGAAGGATGGCTGTGGCTGAGCATAGGCTCTGACGTTCCAAATGAGGTCCTCTCCCACACCAATTTTTTTAGTAAAGCAGTTTTATTTATTTTGTTGGTCTGAGAGTCTGAGCCCTTTTGGCAATCCAGTGCAGTGATTTCTGAGATGGCAACACCTAGGAATTTTCTGGAAATTTACTTTTTTAATGGTCAGAAACAATGTTTCCCAAAAGCGGTCAGTGGCAGAAGAGGACAGGAATGAGTAACGAAAAGCTCTGGATGGGAATCACCAGGACTGGAGAAAACATGAAACCTGTGATTTTTATGAGGCTTGGGTTGCTATGAGGAATTGCCAAATGAACATTCTTCTGAATATCCGTAAGATTTTCAGCAACACATTGTGACATTGACAATATGTTTTCTCATGCCTCAAAATTATCTGAACAGCTAGCACCTAGTGGGAAACTCAGTTGAGACTGTAAGTCATGGAAAACACAGACACCCATTGAGTCATCTGAAATCACACAGCTGAATTTCCATATTTATCAACCTAGATAACCAAAATATGCTGCCAGCTCAGGAAGATCTTTGTACTGAGAATCCATTGTAGCGTTTCGTATCTCAGGTTCTGTAATTGCTCATTGCTTCCTCATTGTGTACTTTCAGGGTGCAAAAAATAGTGTTTAAATGCAGATAGCACTAATTCAATCGTATGCAGGCACCTGTCTAGCATATATGTATTTAACTTAACACTGGTTATCAACTAGCTGTCAGATAACTTGGCAGAGTGAGAAAATCCATTACCAGTGTAGCATTAGGCTTCCAAAAAGCATTAAAATGGGACTCTAGAAACAGTTCATGTGAAAAATACTGTCTGTATCTGAAAGAGCTTTTGGTCTCTTTGTAGGAAATTGGTTTGAGAAAGTGATAAATCTAAGGACACACTTACTGAAAAAAAAAATCATTTCCTCACACAATTTGTGAATATTTTAGTCCTCCTACCCCTCCAAAAAGCCCCTAATACTCTCTTTGGAGAGAAACAGGAATACAAACAACATTGATCTATCAGACACTTAATGGGAGTGGATCTTTCTCCTCTCTTGCCACAAAAGATGAATCATAGAAGTTTTAGGGAACCTAATTATGTCACTAAGGAAACACTGAGATGATGATACGAATGTTTTCTTCAAGCTAATATGATTTTTGTGAAGCATTCTTTCATCTGAAAAGCACTGCAGAACTCAACTCTGGTCTATTTTTAAAATGACAGATTAAATAGAAAAATTGTGATTAAATATTATTCTAGTTGCTTTGCCACAAAGCGACAAAAGGCCAAATGTCAATTTGAAATTAAACTCATATAGAAGCTGAGCAAACAATAAAGGGATGTATCACTAAGTAAATTATACCAGTTCGAGATATCCTGATTATCTTTTGCTTATTGTTATTAAACCACAAGGCAAATGCAATTCTCAGTCATACTGTGTTTCATTATAATACTTTTGAAGAACCTGAGGCAATAAAAGCATGTAAGTTTATGCTCAGTATGTATGCATGAAGACTTAGTGGCTGCTTAATACAGATGGTATGTTCCACTGCCTGCTGCTGGGGCAGGGAGCTGGACACACAGGCCAACTTTTCTCATGATCCCAGCTCCTCCCTGTTAGTTGCAGACACTGCCTTGACTGCCTCCGTATCCCCTCATCCCCTCTTCAGATTTCCTGACCTTCCAAGGGCCAGGGCTCCCCTTTAATACCTTTCTATCAGATACTGCATTGTCCAGCTTAATCCTTCCTTACTATTTATCCTGGAATCTTTCTTACCAAATTCTCAAAACCCCCTAGCTTTAGGCTTTGTCTCCTTGGGTCTCCTACCCTTATCTGTGCTGAACACCTTCCCAGCACACCTTACTAGCTTACAAAGACCTTTCAGGCTTGAATTAATCCTTTCCTCTGTCTGGGTTTGCACTGCACACTCTTCTCACTATGTACCTTAGGAAGCTTTTCATTTCTGCCTTTATTTGGTATTGAGAGATGCAATGTTTAGACAGGAAGAAGGAGACCTGTAAAGAAGTACCGCTGATATAAATATGTTTTTAAGCATAGGTCAGAGCATTTAATGAAGACAAATCATGAGAGACTGAAAGAGTGGGAATCATCAGTCAAAAAAACTGAAAAAGCTTAAGGAAGTATTTTGTAAATGCTTACATGCCTTTCTGCCTTTCTCCTTAAGCCCTTCCTTCTACATAGAACAGATGGCCCAATCTCAAAAATAAACACAAAATATAAAGAGAATTGGAAGAGCTGGGACGGTAAATCCTCTTCTTTACAAAGGCATAAAGAGCTGGAGGTCGGAGAGAGGGAGGCAAAAGTTGCTCTGGGGGGCAGCACAGCACAAATGAGATGCTTGCTTGATGCCAAAATAATTCCCCTGCCACAGTGTTTGCCAGGGATTGGGAGGCAAATGTGCCTGAAACAGATGTTTACTGGGGACAGAAAATGAAACATTAATGAAAGCATTGGAAATACCTGAACATCACTTGAATAACCTCTTCTGCGGGGGGAGTGCGAGAGTTAAACAGAAACTGCCTGTCTGCTGAATTTCCTCCAACTCAAACTCTGACAGAGGCTGTGATAGCAGTGTGACTTCTATGTGCCTTGCAAACATACAGAAAGCATGCAAGGGTTTGTGTTCCAAATTAAACATAGGGAAAACCAAGTAATTTTTCATTTTTATAATAGCACTACAGGTATCACTATTGCTAATAAAATAATTATAAAACAGGTAAGTCCCACTCTGATGATCACTCTGATGAGCCATTTTTAAAACGGATCAGTCTCATGCATATATAAGGTTATACACCCACTCAATACTAAAAGATGTGGGACAACCTCACTTACTATCTGCTGTCCAGAAAAGTGCAAATGTGATCACTACCTTGAATTCCAACCTGGAAAACTGCAAAAATGTCAAAAAGAAATGGGATTTTATCTAATAACTGAAAGTTTTACTCCTTCCTCCAAGTAATGTGTCTGGTAGTATTAGTGTAATACACTTCATATCCTTTGAAAAATAAACATTTCTGGTTTAGATACAATCTAAATGAGCTTGGAAATTAAAATAATTCTTCTTTGGCTTCAAATTAGATAGATTGCCCATGTCTGAGCATTACTGCTGCTTAATTTAAGATGACATATCAGACTGGCATTTTCATTTTTAATGTAGGAAGCTGCATTTGTGAATAAGACCTTTCATCTCAAGGACAGCAGTTTCAATTTTTTGAAAAATAGTAGAGGTTTATTTAAATGGTGTCTTGCACACTGCTCAGGCTGTGTACTCTGAGAACATGTAAATTCATCCTACTTATGATAAATGGACCCATGAATAATAATACTTCCTTTTTTTCCCTCCCACAGCTCTTCATGGCAGGGTATGTAATGAGGTATTAAAGGTGAAGTATTTCTTGGATGTTTTGACGACAGCGAGGAAGGTGTGCATTTGATTGACATCTTTCAAAATATTTCTGGCCTGATATTTTAATCCCATAGCCTCTAAAGCAGGTATACATCATACAGAAGCATCCTACATTTTACACACTGGTGCAGAAGTTAGAGTAGTACCCGAGAAAACAAAGTACCTTGATCCCAAACCCTTCCCAGGCTGAGGGTATCTCCCAGAGGGTGCTCTGCATTACCAAGCTACAGGCCAAGCTGCGTCGAGGAAAGAGGCAATTTCTATTTCGTCAAATGGTCATTGAATCTGATGGAAAGAGGCAATCCCAGGCCCATCTACTCCTGGACAAGGGTACTTAGCATTAGGAATAAAGCTGTACAAAGGGTGCTAGAGGGACAGCCACATGCCCATAGCCTGGCTGTGCTACAGGCTGTAAGCATGTGGAAGGCTTTGCTCACAAAGCAAATGTGAACTCACATATTTCAGGAGACTCTCAGCAGCAGTGACTGCAGTAACATACCAGCAGTCAGCACCGACAGAA